CGCCCCGCCTCGCCCGCCAGGGGCGCGCCGGGGCGCTGCGAGGGTCCGCGGGCCGGCGGCGCGGGCGCGCGGCGCGCGGCGCGTCGTCGGACTTGTGGCAGCCACTGCGGCGGCCGAAAAAAAGAAGACGGCCGGCCGAGAGGTGCTAGGACTGGCGTCAGTAAACCTGTCCTGCCGACTCGTGCTACGCGGAGTCCCAGATCACAGCGCCCTGTCAGCTCCCAGACCACCGCGTCCTGTCTGTAGCACAGCGCGCGTATCCAGCACTCTTCCCGGGCCGCGAAGGGCGTGCGGCCCGGCCGCGGCAGCGGCAGGCACGATATCGTGGGCCGCGCCCGGGCAGGCCGTCATACCGACCTCCTGCTGCCGACCGCTCTGGAGGCGCCTGGACTGGGAGAGCCGCCCCAAGCATCCCGCCCTCCCGTGGGAGCGCGCGCGTCTTCAAACGGAGCTGGCGCGAGCCCGCCCGTGCCTCCGACGGAGCACGTCCTGGGCGCCAGGCGTAGACAGGTTACAACGCCCAAAGACCACACGCTGCCACCAGAGCCTGAGGTCCCCAAGAAGGAGCGTACCCAAGAGCAACCCCCGCCCGCAGATCCCTGGGAGGCGGCGGCGTCGGGGCCAGCAGGGAGCCCAGGGCCCGCCCTTGCCAGGGCTGGCGGCCGAGCCAGCGCAACGGCTGGGAGGCGGCGGCGGCGGCGGCGGCGGCGGCGGCGGCGGCGGCGGCGGCGGCGGCGGCGGCATCGGCGGCGGCGGCGGCGTACCCGACTTCGGCAAAAGTCCCTGCCACTAAGCCTGCTGACGCCCGACCCCTGTCAAGGCAGGCGAACGACCGCCCGGGCTTCTTCGTCCAAGTCACACAGGCAAGGCCCCGTCCAGTCAAGCGGCGGCGGCAACATGCCCAGTGTCCTGGGCTGCCTGCGGCGGCCAAGCCTCGAGAGGAGTGCCTGGCGCACAGCGCCATCGCCCCTCGCAGAGGTGGGGCAAACGGACCTCCGTTGAACGGTCTGGGCCGCCCGCTGCGCCTGGTGTTGCGCTTGGGCTGCCTCGTGGATAGTCCCCAGGTAGCAAGTGGGGCTGCGCGAGGGCGGCGGCGGAGCGGCACGAGCCACGCGCGCCGCTGCCGATACGGGCGTACGGGCACAGCGGAGGCCCCTCGTGCGCGTGCGCGACCAGCGGCGGCGCGACCTCGGGCGCGACCTGCGCCGTCGGCCGCCCTCGCGAAGAGCGCGGCCTCCAGCGGGGTACGCTGGCGCGCTGTCCACGAGCCGGCCTGCGGCCCAGCGTCGCGGAGCCCACGAAGGGAGGCCCCCCGAAAGCGGCGGCACCATCAGGCCTCAGGGCACCGCCCTGGAGATCAAATGTTATTACTCCGTTGCGCAAGCAGCGCGAGCAGCGCGCAAGCAGCGTCCACGCGCAAGCAGCGTCCGGGTCCACGCGCGGCCGCCCGCCGCGGGTGCCCGCCGCGCCCCGGCTCGCCGCACCCTGGCGCTGCCGCCCCCCTCGACGGAACCCCAGGGCGCGCGACTGGTGCAGCGCAGGCAAGTGGTCTTTCGCACCCGTCTGCCCCCCGCCGTCTCTCGAGGCAAGCAACAAACAAACAAACAAACAAACAAACAAACAAACAAACAGACAGACAGACAGACAGACAGACAGACAGACAGACAGACAGACAGACAGACAGACAGACAGACAGACAAACAAACAAACAAACAAACAAACAAACAAACAAACAAACAAACAAGGCGGCGGCCTTCGCTTTGCTGGCCCCGCCCTTCACGTCCTCCGCGGCGTCGGCGAAGCGAGACGGAGGCGCGGCCGCGCTGGGACAATGCCCCCCTGCTGCAGCCCCCCTCCACCAGGGGGCGCGGACGACGCAGGCGGCACGTGCTACGCAGACTGAATCGCAACAGGCGCGCGTGGACTAGCCCGCCTCTCGGACCCCCCCTCCAGCCAGCTGCACTGAGCCAGACTCGAGGACGACGCGCAAAAACAGGCGGGAAGCCCCACGCCCCCCACATGAGCAAGGTGGGCGGCTCGGTCGGCCACCATCGCACCCTCAGCAAAAAAGCAACGGGGGAAAAAGTCAGGAGCCTCGCTCGGGGGCACCGGCGACCTCCTCCTCCTCCTCCTCCTCCTCCTCCTCCTCCTCCTCCTCCTCCTCCTCCTCCTCCTCCTCCTCCTCCTCCGCCAAGTCAAGTACGCCGGAGCCGTCCCAGGACACTCGACCAGTGCATGTCGCACTGGAGCCTGCGATGCCCCACACCAAGGGCAAGTGGGCACGGCGTTGGGGAGGGAATCTCCACCGAAAACGGGCAGAAAGGCCAGGCGCCACTCCTCCGAGCGAGCGCCCAGGCTCGGAGGTCAGCCCAAAGCGCAGGTCCCCGCCCAACTTCCAGCAAATCCAGCAGCGGCCAGGATGGCGCGGGACAGACGGCCGCGAAGGAAAAGCCAAGGGCGGCAAGGATGGGCGCAGCCGCTCCCTGAAAGGATGCGCGGGGTCACACTCCAGCCAGCATCGCAGGCCGCAACACCTGCCATTTGCAGGCTTGGAGGAGGGCGCTCGACCCGCCTCGGGGCAGCGCCTCGCCGCGCCCACCGGGGCTCCCGCGAGAGCAGGGCGCTCAGTGATGGGCAGCGGGGGGGGCGGGAGTACGCGAGCCAGTGCAGCCGCGTCCGTCAGCCAAGACCTCACTGACAAGGCCGCTGCGGCCGTGCCCACAATGGACGCTGGATGCCCCTCTGCGAGTACATCGGACCGAGCGCGGGCCACAAGCGTCCGCTCCACGAACCTCGTCCCAAGGCGCAAAGGCCAAGTCGCACTGCGCCATCGCGACGCTGTGGCGAAGGGGCGGCCCTTTCTGGCAGCCAAGCAGCTTTCTCGCCCAGACCCCCTGCAGCCTGTTGAAGGCTGCTTCGGCCGCCGGTACCCCAGCCAACAATAAGGGCAAGGATAGAGGATCACACCGCCAGTCTTCGGCGGCTTGCCTGGACGAGTTGAGCAAGTGCGCTGGCCTTGGCTGCACAAAGGGTTGTAGTTGCACGCGGCCATCACGACCCTATCCCTGGAAACCTGCGCGCTTCCCGATGCAACACCATGCACACGAGACGCAAGTTGCTCAACTCATCCCTTGCCCCACTGGCGCTCTGAAGTGCCCAAGTCTGCCTTGAATGGGCCAAGGCTGTCAGAAATCCAACTTGGGTTTGCCCGCAACTCCGACACAGAATCAAAACCCACTCGAAGCAGAAACCACAAGCCTCGCTGCACCGTGAACGACGCGCTGGAAAGGCGCAGGAGGCGAGCTCGGCGGCAGAAGGCAACGCAACATGGAAGCAGCAACAGCACGACAAGCTAGAACGTCAAAGGTTGCCACATTTCGGGGATGGACAGACCGCCCTTTAGTAAAACGTGGCTTGGTGAAAACAACCCGAGGCCCAAACCTGGCGGGCGCAATCCTGGAAAAGGACGGCCGCGGCGCCATCTCGAGAACCGCAAACGGACAGTTCACTAATCGACGTGTCACTGTTGGGGGTTCTGTCCACCCTCGAACATTGTGCTCGAATACTGGGCATCCGGCTCCACTCGGGCGGGCTGTGGTGGAGCTGGCCTGCGGCCAGCCCCGAGCTGAGAGCCTGGTCCAACAGGGAACCGACTTGCCTACACGACACTGGGGGGCGGGACGACAACGAGCCCCACCCCCGTCAACGCAAAACTGTGGAAGCAAGAGCAGACAACACACATCAACACAAACACAACACACACACACACAAGCACACACACAACACACACAACACACACACAACACACACACACACAACACACGCACGCACGCACGCACGCACGCACGCACGCCCGCGCCGCGCGCGCGCGCACGCACGCACGCACGCACGCACGCACGCACGCACGCACGCACGCACGCACGCACGCACACACACACACACACACACACACACACACACACAAGCAACACACACACACACAACACACACAACACACACACACACACAACACACACACACAACACGCACAACACACGCACACACACAACACACATACAACACACACACAAGCACAAGCATAAGCACAAGCACAATAACAAGCACGAACACAAACACAAACACAAACACAAGCACAAGCACAAGCACAAGCACAAGCACAAACAAACTAACAAACAAACAAACAAACAATACGGGCAGCGTGCGCATGCAAGAGCACGTCGCCTGACCCGCTCCCCCAGAAGTGCGGTACGGCTGATAACCACGAAAAGCAAGCCTGCCGTTCAAAGGAAGCTGGCCCTTTTAAGAATCACGCTCTTTGGCCTGACGGCGGGTCGCGCCGAAAGAAAAACATCTTCGCAACGAGGCCCAGTGTCCAACACTACGACATTTGCGTGGCAACCTTCCACCTACGAGGACAGAAATCACGCCGAGGAACGCCTCGGATAATCACACGCAGCGCAATGACCTCTGAGCGACGTGTCCTCTGGACTCAACATCTCAACATCATGAGTAATGTTGGGAGGGGAGGAGGAGGAGGAGGAGGAGGAGGAGGAGGAGGAGGAGGAGGAGGAGGAGGGAAAGCCGAGACACGTTAGAGGCGTGCGGCCAGACGGTCGAACACCGCCAAGCGGACGGCCCAGGGAGGCACTGCGGCAGGCCGCCACGCCAGCAGAACGCAGAGGGATCCGGCGTGCCCGCGTGGCGCGGCGTCACGACAGGAACCGACGACATGGGAAGCGTAGGGTTAGGTCGGGCATGGCCTCCTGCAGGCGGACTGTTGTAAGAGAAATAAAAGGTAGCCCAGGAAAAATCAAACACGGTCAGAATAGCACGAAGAATCGTCACCAGACTATGTCTTAAACTACTCTTGGATATTCCTCCTGACGTGCCCGACTTGCGCGCGTAGGGCTGAGGGCGACGAGGCATTGGCTGAGCCGTCCGTCGGGCGAAGGCTCGGCCGCGTGGCCGCCTTCTCGCCCGTGGCGCGGCCGGCAGAGCAGGGCGGCGGGGGGGGGCCGCGCAGAGCACCGAGGGCGGGCGCGGCAGTCGAGCGCGCGGCCCCCCAGCGCGCGGCCACGAGGGGGCGCGCCAGGACGTGCCGGAGGCACCGCGTCGGAAGGGCGCGGGGCGAAGGACCGCAGAGGGGAAGGGCGGAGGGGAGGCAGGGCGCGGGGCCAGGCGGTGCGCACCCGCGGGGGGAGGGCGCGGCGCACGCTGTGGGCCGGCGGCGCCCGGAATCCTGGGCGAGCTGCGCACGGTCACGCTGCTGGCAGACAGACACCTGGACGACAAAGCACTCGCTGCACACAGTCGAACACTGCAACCAAATCCCACCATAACGCAGATGCGTGCCTTGAGAGTTGCAGCGCAGCACAGACGTGTGCATTCGCGCAGACATTCTAGCAAACAAAAATATAGGTGCGCGCGTACGCACGTGCAGTGAGAGCAGAAAGGCAGCGGCACCAGGCAAATTTCAACGCGCAGGCCTGAATCCGAGAGGTTTGATGTGTAACCCGTCTTCTCCACAGCTCTGCGGGTCACACGGGCATATGAAACACTCAAAGGACTCGAAAACCACACCAAGCCAAGGGATGCAAGCTCAGCACAGTCTGGCGACACTCCACGGCGGCAAAGCCAGGCGCATCGTGCACGACAGCCATCTGGCATAGTCGAGGGAACAACGAAAGCCAAGGAGAGCTGCAAAACGGGGCGCACCGCTCGGCGTGCAGGAAGCTGTCAAGCATCTCGACACAGAGGCTCTCCCTCCTGGGGTCCTGCAGGGACGCCCTGCCGAAAGACTGCACTGTGCGAGGAGCGCCCCGAGCGCAAGACTGGGAAGCTAGCATGCGAGGGGGTTCAGAGGAGGTACGCCCATCTGCAAAAGTGATGCATCTCGCCCTGACAACCAGAAGCTACCAGAGCCCACCCGAACACCCAAGAACATCACGAACCATACAGAGCGCCACAAAGCCTCTCTCCTCGATCAGTCGACGACGACGACGACGACAAAAACGACGAAAGTTGCAAGAATTACTCAGCAGGCCCTTTTCAAGCCCACGGCTAGGCCCAGCTCGGCACTGAGGGAAAACTAGCGGAAACTGGATGTCGCGCCCAAGATGTGGGCCCGATCGAACGCGTTTCGAGGGGCACCACTCCTTTTCTAGAGGCCTCCAAGATGGGGTCGGAGCAGGTGGGGTCGGAGGATCGAGCCGCATCGCCGATGCATCGGCGATACATCGAGGATGCATCGGCGATGCATCGGCGACGTCGGCGATGCATCGGCGACGTCGGCGTGGAGAAAATCGGGCCCCACATCGAGCCGCATCGGCGATGCGGAGCGACCCTCCGACCCCACCTACTCCGACCCCACATGGGAGGCCTAGGTTTTCCTCGTCCGTCCCCTTAGACATGACCCTGCCACTGCACCAGCGCGGCCTGACGTCCACCACTGCACAAGCGTTGCCCACGGACGAGTGGCGCTCCTACGCTCCAGGGCCGGCGCACCATCGCACCAGCCTTCCGGAGAGATCCCACCAGCCCTCCCGGCATAGGTGGTCTAACGGGATTCATTTTTTCCTCTTCCACAAAGCCCTCTTCCCCTTCGGGGAGGGGTTTATCAGTGTTCCCTATTAATATACACCCCCTCCCCCAGGCGACTGGCAGCCAACCAAGAAAAATGCGGGCACCCCCCCCCACCATCCCTTGGAAAAAAACAATACAAAACACCCTCTGTCACCAAATGAGCATGCGCAGCCAACCGGATGCGGCCTCCTCCCACCATCCCTGTCAAAAAAACAATACAGGGTACACTTGGCGGCGGCGGCGACTGCGGCGGCTGCGGCGGCGGCGGCAGCGGCTGCGGCGGCTGCGGCGGTGGCGGCGGCGGCGGCGGGGGCGGCGGCGGCGGGCGGCGGCGGCGGCGGCGGCGGCGGCGGTGGCGGCGCGGCGGCGGCAGCGGTGGCGGGCGGCGATTCGGCGGCGGCGGCAGCGGCGGCGGGCGGCGCGGCGGCGGCGGCGGCGGGGGCGGCGGGGGCGGCGGCGGAGGCGGCGGCGGCGGCGGATGGGCCCCCAGTAGCTGCCCATCTAAAGACGGTTGCTGAATACGCTGAGGCTCGGGCCAGGCTCGGGTGCCACATATGTTTTGGGAGGGCGGGTGGGAGTGACCGAGACGGCTTGCGGGCGGGGAGGGGGTCTTCACCCCTCCCCCATACCCCCTCCCCTGGACTTTTTGGGCGGCGGTCGCGGGTGGTTGGAGGGTTCTTTTTCTGCCCCTGGGAGGGCCAATGTTTGACACTCCTCACGAGGATCGTGGCCCCCGAGGGGGAAGGGCGATCGGGACGCCCCCTCCTTAGATCGATAACCTCGACGAAGATGGCCCCAAAAGGCGCTCCAGGGCTCCCAAGAGAGCCCCAAGAGGGCCCCAAGAGGGTCCCAAGAGGGCCCCAAGAGGCACCCGAGAGGCCCCCAACAGACCCCCGAGCGGCCTCAGAAAGCCCAAGATGACCTCCAAGAGGGCTCAAATAGCCCAAGCTGATTCAAGATGGCTCCCAAGATGCTCCAAACGGCCCCAAAACCGCTCCAAGAGCGCCCAAGAGCGCTCCAAAAGAACCCCGAGAAGCGGTTCGCCAGCTCCTGAGGGGGGAGCTGAGTTGGGGACCCCCCCATCCTGAAATCGATGGCCTCCAAGATGATCCAAAGAAGCCTTCCAAGGTTACCAAGAGGGTTCCAAGAAGGCCCCCAAAACGCCCAAAGAGCAGCAGCAGCAGCAGCAGCAGCAGCAGCAGCAGCAGCAGCAGCAGCAGCAGCCGCAAGAATACCTCTAGATGGTTCCATGAGTCCTCGCCCGCGGCGTCCTCATCCTAGTCCTCGTCCTCCTCGTCCTCGTCCTCCTCCTCTTCCTCTTCCTCCTCCTCCTCCTCCTCCTCCTCCTCCTCCTCCTCCTCCTCCTCCTCCTCCTCCTCCTCCTCCTCCTCCTCCTCCTCCTCCTCCTCCTCCTCCTCCTCCTCCTCCTCCTCCTCCTCCTCCTCCTCCTCACCTCGCCCCCACGCGGCCCCCAGGGATGGCCCAAAGAGGCCTTCCAAGGCCACCCCTTGCTCCCAGAGATCTTTCGGTTCACCGTAGTTGCTCGCTTTGTTTCCCTAGATGTGTTTTTTCGTCCCTTTTCCCGCCAGCTCTCGACGGCAGGGCTTCTGAATGGGCTGGTGGGGATATATTTTTTACTGGCGACTCACAAGGACAGATCCAGGAAGCGGGGCGGTCTCGGCTGGGGCACTTAAGATGCGGGCGACCCGGAAGCGGGGACGCAGGCATCAGAAGGAGACAGACGGAGGAGAAGTCGCACAGTGGCGCCAGCTCAGTCCGTACCGACCAACGAGTAAGGGCGTGGGTCACGCCGCGCTGTGACAGCACGGAGGGCCAGGGAGGCCGCACCGTCCAACACGACGACGAGGCGAAGGAGCGAGGAAAGGCGGCGGGCGCGAGGGCACGCGCGGACAGAAGACGGGGGGAACCGAGGAACGCCTCACTCACATGGACTCACTGGTGAAGATATTTTTTGATCTGCGGCTCCAAGGACGATTCCAAAGAGCGGGTAGTATCAAGCATGGGGTGACACGCCAGATAATTACCAGCGGGCCAAAAGCCAGCGCCGAGGTGCAAGCAAGAGCATGAGTAAACAAGCCAGATACTTAAGAGAGGCACACTAGCCGGAGCGGGACAACGGCAGCGGAAGGTCGCACAGTGGCGCCAGCTCCCGAGGCGCAGGCCAGCGAAAGACCGGGGGGAACCCGGAGGGGGAAGCAGGGGCGGAAAGCGCAGCGAAGGCGAAGCGAGCCAGGACGGACCAAGCGAGATAATACTGGTGGGGATACGCGAAGCGTGAAGGGTTTTCGTTTCCATTCCCGCTTCCTCCCCTCGAAAGGGAGGGGCAACGACAGGGGGGCCGACCTGGGGGGGGGGACACATCGACGTGGAATCGGCGATGTATCGCCGAGATGGATCGGCGACAGGCCCCCGATAGTGAATGCGCACGCTCCTGGGCAGGCTGGGGCTATCACGCCCCTGTGGGCGAGTGGGGGTCGATGCCTCCGCCCCTGTGCCCATCCCCCCTGTCGCTGCCCCTGAGAAAGGGGCTTCACCCCTGCTGGCTGTGGAATGGACGCCTCCTCCCCCGCTCCACGGGCCGCCGACCGGGAACGGTACGGGCCCCCACCGCCCCGCCACCCCTTTCAAAACCAGTTCAAACGTGCACGTGGCGGCGCAGGGTGGGTCGTGATGGGGGCCTGCTCTGGGGACAGGCACATACCATGGACGGATAGACCCTTCCTCTGGTCCTGCACCGCGCCGATCGCAACGGCCGCGCTGTCTGCGGACGTGAAAAACGACATCTGGCACAGGCCCCAGACAATCGGTCTTCCAGGAGCTGGTAGACGTTGCCCTCAAAGATCGTGACCGTGACCCCCGCGAGCAGGTTGCACTGTTTGGGGGATAAATGGCGGGGCCTCTATTGTGCGCTGCCACAGTATCCCTGACACACAAAAAACAAATGACAAAAAACTAGCATACACCATGTTGAACAACCGCCGCCACTCTGCAGTGGCCTTTGGCACAAACAGTCGGGGGTCCGACATCGTCCGATGTGTGCTGGCATGTCTACTGGCGCATCTGGCGAAGTCTGCGAGCGTCGCGCAAGTGGCGCGTCTGGGGAGCAGGTGGAGAACTTGGCGCACGCGGAGCATGTGGCGCATCTGGCGCGCCAGACGCGCCTGGCACGCTTGGACACGCGTCCCCAGGTGGCAAGAGGTCTTCCTATTGCTATACGTTTATATGAATCCCTGGTTCCAGTTCGGTTTCGGACCCCCGCGATTTTAAGATTTTTGAGCGACGCCTCCTCCTCCTCCTCCTCCTCGTCCTCCTCCTCCTTCTCCTCCTCCTCCTCCTCCTCCTCCTTGCCCTTCATCCTATAATCCTCTCATCCTCCTCATCATTCTTCTCTTGCTCAGTCGGACCCCTGCGATTTACAGATTTTATGCAGAAAGCCTCGCTCTCACCTCCTCCCTCTTCCTCCTCCTAAGTCTCTCTCTCACCTCCTCCCTCCTCCTCCTCATTCCTCCTTCACTCTCTCTCTCTCTCTCTCTCCCGCTCTCTCTTCTGTGTGTTTTCGTTCGTCGCGCATTCCTCTTTCTCCTCATCCTTCTCCGTCTTCCTCCTCACCCTCTTCCCGATCATCCTCCTCTTCCTCCTCCTCCTCGTCCTCATCCGCCTCCTCCCCCTCTCCCCCTTTTTCTGAAGGAGTGCCATAACTTTGGGAAACCCATGGGAAAAACCAAAAAAAAACAAAGAAACTGAAGTGCTGGAGGAGAAAACTTTAAGAAACCCATTGGAAAAAAAAGGGAACATCCGTCCGAAGGGACACGTCCAAAGGGAATCCCAGCACTCTCTGTGGAATCTGTGGTTTTTGTTTGTTTTTTTGGTTTTTCCAATGGGTTTCCTAAAGTTTTCGGCTCCAACAGTTCAGTTTCTTTGGTTTGGGGGTTTTTTCCAATGGTTTTCCCAAAGTTTTTGAATTGTGTGCGTTTGGTGCCTCTCAGGCGGGAGCATCGTTTAGAGTGTTCTGTCGGGAACCTCTCTGGCGGGAGCCTCCTTTTGTTTGCGTGTTGGGGGACTTCTCAGGCGGGAGCCTGAGGGAGCCATGAGGGAGCCATGGGGGGAGCCACGAGGGAGCCATGGGGGAGCCATGGGGAGCCGTGGATGGGGTGGGGGGAGCATCCTCCTCATCCCCCTCCTCTCCTCAGCCTCGTCTCCTTGTCTCCTGATATTGTATATTATCCTCCTCCTCCTGCTCCTCGTCCTCTGCGCCCCTCGCTTTCTCATGTTCCTCGTCTTCCTCCTCATATTCATCGTCCTCATCCTCATCGTCATCCTCTTCCTCATCCCATCCTCATCATCATCTTCATCGCCTTCTTATCTGCATATTACATATTCTTCCTCAGCATCATCATCTTCCTCATCCTCACCTTCCACATTCTCATCTTCCTCCTCATTATCATCAGCATCATCATCATCTCCATGATCATCTTCATCTTATCCTCATCTTCCTCACCATCCTTATCTTCCTCCTCACCCGCATCTCCTTATCCTCCTCATCTGCCTGACCCCCCTCATCCTCCAGCGATTGGGATGTGGATCGAGCATGTGTTATTCGTATTCCTCCTCCTCCGCATCTCCTTCCCCTTCCTCCACGGTCGCTTCGTTGTGCAGTGGGTTTCAAAGTTGGCCTCAGACAGTTTGCCCTGACCTGCCATCTTCTCACAACACTCTTTCTGAGCATGAGCGAGGAAGACGAGGAAGAGCGAGGAAGAGGAGGAGGAGGAGGAGGGCGAAGAACGGCATGAGATGGGGGCATCCATTTTTTGGATGCCCTCGAGAGCACCACAATTGCAGAAGAGAGTTCGCAAACGAACGGCACCAGTTCCTAGTTGATCCCGTTTGTCCTGCGTATTCCGAAGGGACCTCCTCCTCATCCTCCTCCTCCTTCTCCTCCCCCCTTCCAAGGGACAGCCATAACTTAGGACAACCCTGAGAAACACCAAAACACACAAGAAACTGAAGCGCTGGAGACTGACACTTTGGAAACACCATTGCAAACAAACAAAGTGTCCAAGCAATGCCTCCCGCCCATGAACCTCCCCTTTGGGGCGGACTGGTTTCCACGAGATTTGTTTTTTTTGTTTGTTCCACTGGTTTTCGAACGTTTCAGTCTCCAGCGCTTCAGTTTCTTTGTGTGATTGTTGTTTCCTTTCTCCGAGTTTTCCTGAAGTTATGGCTTTCCCTTGGAAGGGGGGAGGAGGAGGAGGAGGAGGAGGAGGAGGAGGAGGAGGAGGAGGAAGAGGGAGGAGGAGGAGGTCCCTTCGGACGGGTCTTCCCTGTTTTTTTTGTTCCAATGGGTTTTCCACAGTTTCAGCCTCCAGCAATTCAGTTGTTTTTTTCTCAGGGTTGTCCCAAAGTTATGGCTTTCCATTGGAAAGGGAGGAGGAGGACGAGGAGGAGGAGAAGGAGGAGGACGAGGAGGAGGAGGAGGAACGGTGTGTGTGTGTGGGGGAGGATGAGCAAGAGAAGAATGATGAGGAGGATGAGAGGATGATATGATGAAAGGGGGAGAAAGAGGAGGAGGAGGAGGAGGAGGAGGACAAGGAGGAGGCTTCGCGCAAAAATCGTAAAATCGCGGGGGTCCGAAACCGAACTGGAACCGAATCCCTTATCGCACAACTCGCATGCGCATCGTTTCTGCATGGGCTGGTGGGGGTACGCGAAGCGTCAAGTAGTCCGACTGGAACGCTCAGCTTGGACTCGCTCCCCTGTGCGAACCAGTATCACGATTTGAACTACAACTTCCAACGACACTGCCACACAGAGTCGTGGCCCGCACACGAGCTACGCCATGGCGCGTGGCAAACATGCCTCAGATTCAGTTCTCGGAAAGCATATATAGCAAATCAGCTTGGATCGATGCGTAAGCATGCAGACACCCAGCACGTCCACTCAGCACTGCCGATAATCGCACCTCTTCGCCCTGACACTGCGACCCTCCGCAAATCCGCATCCTGATCTTCACAGTAGTGAAATCAGAGAGGCGGTGACTCCTATATCCCTTCCCCGTGTCTCCCAGCAAGGGCGATCCAAACGCTGGATCTCTTGCAGTATCTCCACTTCGGCTTCGGCATGCTCGCAATAGCGCTTGACGCCCTTGACAACCTTGACAGCAACGTAGTCTTGTGCGACACTGTCCTCGGGACCGTGTGGGCCGCTTTAAATGAATACATGCAAGCTCCATCTATCGACACCTGAATAAATGCACACAGACATCGCACACTGCCCTGATATCGAACTGCACGTGATCATTCACAACGCCAACTCCGTCCACTGCATCGGCCAAGCTGCGATACTCACCGGCCCAATGCTGCCACAGAGTGTGCAGCACGCACTTTTCACTAAAGCCATCGTCTCCAAGGTGTGAGTGAAGCTCCTTGCAGCCAAGTACGCGGCCGAACGTCCCGTCTCCGAGAAACTGCTCGACGACATACCTGTCATTCGTCCCCAAGCACATGCCAGGTTTCCAGCTGAAATGGGGCACGGCCTTCTCCTTGTCCCGCTTGCGAGCCTGCGCGCAATGGAGATACACATGGCATGCACACGAAGAACGGACCATACCATGCAATGTAAGTAATCGGAAGGCTTCGCACGAGCACACAAGGGAACATACAGACAAAAAGTAGAAGTGATGCTGTTTGCTTACTATATGCATATATGTATACTACGTATGTGTTGCACTTAAGTGAACTTTAAAAAATGCACGTCGCGCTCATACTATGCAGCTCATGTGCACGTGCGCAAGTCATCGTGAATCGGCCACCGTGCCCCCAGGGCGCCTTGAGGCGTGGCAGGATGTCGGGAGCTGCCTGGCAGGGGTTCCCGTCATCACACGTCCCCCCCCTCTCAGCCAAGGCCAGCACCTCCCGAGGCCAAGAGAACCCATCTCCTTCTTTATATATATATATGTATATCATGTGCCCGCGCTCCCGAGGCAACGATCCGTTCGAAAACATATAAGACCAGGCTCCCGAGGCCACGATCCCGCATACAAAAGTTGATCCGCACTCCCGAAACCACGAACCCATTCAAGAAAACAGTGTACCCGCGCTCCAGAGGCAACGACCCGTTCGAAAAACTACAAGCCCAGGCTCCGTTGGCCACGATCCCGCATGAAAAAACACTGGGTCCGTGCTCCCGAGGCCACGAACCCATTGAAAAAAAAACAGTGTGCCCGCGCTCCGGAGGCAACGATCCGTTCGAAAAACTATAAGCCCAGGCTCCCGAGGCCACGATCCCAAAGAAAAAGAAATCAACGGGTCCGCGCTCCTGGAGCCACGAACCCATTGAAAACAACAGTGTGCCCGCGCTCCCGAGGCAAGGATCCGTTCGAAAAACCATAGGCCCAGGCTCCCCAGGCCACGATCCCCCCATGACGAGAACAGTGGGTCCGCGCTCCCGCGGCCACGACTGGCGCTCCCGAGACCACGATCGCCCACGTGAAGGCAGTGGATCCGCGCTGCTCCCCTCCCCCCTCTCTCCCCTCTCTCTCCTCCCTCCCCTCCCCCTTCTCCCCCCTCGTCCCCCTACTTCTGGCGCGCCGGCCGCGGCCCCGGCAACGAACTGTTTGACCGCGCTCTCCTCCCTCCCTCCCCCTTCTCTCCCCTCGTCCCCCTACTTTTGGCGCGCCGGCCGCGGCCCCGGCAACGAACTGTTTTACCGCGCCCTCCTCCCTCCCTCTCCCTTCACTCCCCTCTTCCCCCTACTTTTGGCGCGCCGGCCGCGGCCCCGGCAACCAACTGTTTGACCGCGCTCTCCTCCCTCCCTCCCCCTTCTCTCCCCTCGTCCCCCTACTTTTGGCGCGCCGGCCGCGGCCCCGGCAACGAACTGTTTGACCGCGCCCTCTGCCCGCGCGCCCTGCGTGGATGCACGGCGTTCGCCTCGCGTCGCACGGGAGCCGCGCGCCCGCGCTGCCAAAAGACGGCCACGGGCCGGCACGGCCACGAGTAGATGGCCCCTAAGACGACCAGAGAGGCCCCTTAAGACGGCCAGCGGGAGCCCCCCACTCCTCCTCCTCCTCCTCCTCCTCCTCCTCCTCCTCCTCCTCCTCCTCCTCCTCCTCCTCCTCCTCTCCTCCTCTCCTCCTCCTCCTCCTCCTCCTCCTCCTCCTCCTCCTCCTCCTCCTCCTCCTCCTCCTCCTCCTCCTCCTGCTCCTCCTCCTCATCCTCTTCCTCTCATCCCCTCCTCTTTCCTCTCCTCCTCCTCCTCCTCCTCCGCCTCCTCCTCCTCCTCCTCCTCCTCCTCCTCCTCCTCCTCCTCCTGCTCCTCCTCCTCATCATCATCCTCTTCCTCTCATCCCTCCCTCCTTCCTCTCCTGCCCCCCCCTGCTTGGATAGCGGGGCCCCAGTAAGGACCGAAAAGGCCAAGGTTTGAAGGGGGTCGGGAGGCCCAACCAGATGCTTCGCCTGAGGCAAAGCCCATGTCCAACTCTGCTATGCCGTAGTAACGATAGTCCCAAGAGCAGGAGAGAGTCGCGGGAGCGACGAGCCATGTCAAGCGAACATGCTTTCGGTCTCAATGGCAAATAGTGTGCCTCGTGATGAGGCACAGTCATATCTTGGCGGCCGGCCGCTTGAGCACAAACGGCCGCGGACAAACGCTCGTTACCTCTCGCCTTTGCCCAACCTCCTTTAGAGTGCCAAAAAAAATTGCTTCCTCAAGGTTTCATCATCAAGACTTGGGCGTATGCACCTTTCCAGACTACCTGCGGCCCCAGACGGCCCTAGAGGCCTCCAAGATGGCCCTAAAGCGACCCAAGGAAGCCCCAAAATGACCCAATGGTCCTCCAAGACGGCCTCGAGACAGCCAAGGGGGCACTTGGACGGCCCAGGACAGCGTCAAGAGAGCCCCAACCTGCCGAAAAACTCTCCGGAGGGTCCCAAGACGGCCTTCGAGAACCATCGACGGCCCAAGACGGCCGCAAGACGGCTCCAAGAGACCCCCACGACGGCCATGATGGCCCCAAGACGGCCTGAGAGAGCCCCAACACGCCCCATGAGGTCCCCAAACGCCCGCCAAAAAGTGGCACAAGGAACCCGAAAGAATACCCCCTAGGAGCCCAAGAAAACGAGGAAGACGCCGAAGGCGAGAAAAGAACCTCGGACGAGGCGCAGAAGAGTATGCCACATGTTGCGGCTCTCACAAACATCGGGACACGAGGTGTCACACGCTACGGCCTCATATGTGCCACCTGAAAGTCGCCACCCAAGGGGATGGGCTGGCACGGCGACGGATCTTGCAACATGCAGCTGGATATGTTGCACCGTATGCGATCCAGGAGCATATCCCGTCAAATGTGTTCGTGCCTATACGTACTGAGGTTCCCACACTCATCGCACATATATGGTTAAACTATTTGCCGAAGCCCGCTTGCCGTGTGTGTGTGTGTGTGTGTACGTGTGCGTGTGCGTGTGCGTATGCGTGTGCGTGTGCGTGTGCGTGCGCGTGTGCGTGTGCGTGTGCGTGTGCGTGAGCGTGTGCGTCTGCATGTGCGTGTGCGTGTGCGTCTGCGCGTACGCGTGCGCGTGCGCGTGCGTGTACGTGTACGCCTGCGCCTGCGCCTGCGCGAGCGTGTGCGTGTGCGTGTGCGTGCGCGCGTGCGCATGCGCGTGCGTGTGCGTGTGCGGTGTGCGTGTGCGTGTGCGTGCGCGTGCGCGTGTGCGTGTGCGTGTGCGTGTGCGTGTGCGCGTGCGCGTGCGCGTGCGTGTGCGTGTGCGCGTGCATGTGCGCGAGCGTGTACGTGTGCGTGTGCGTGTAAGTGTGCGTGTACGTGTGCGTGTGCGTGTGGGAATGCGCGTGCGCGTGCGTGTGCGCGTGCGTGTGCGTGTGCGAGTGCGTGTACGTGTGCGCGTGCGTGTGCGTGTGCGCGTGCGTGCGTGCGTGTGCGTGTGCGTGTGCGTGTGCGTGTGCTTGTGCGTGTGCGCGTGCGCGTGTGCGTGTGCGTGTGCGTGTGCGTCTGCTTCTACGTCTACGTCTGCGTCTGCGTGTGCGTCTGCGTCTGCGTCTGCGTGTGCGTGTGCGTGTGCATGTGGGTGCGCATGCACGTGCGCGTGCACGTACGTGCGTTTGCGCGTGCGTGTACGTGTGCGTGTGCGTGCGCGTGTGCGTGTGCGTGTCTGCGTGCGCGTGCGCGTGCGCATGCGCGTGCGTGTGCGTGCGCGTGTGCGCGTGCGCGTGCGTAAGCCTGTGCGCGTGCGCCGGCGCGTGCGCGTGCGCGTGCGCGTGGACGCTCGCGTGCGCGTGCGTGTGTGAGCGTGTGCGCGTGCGTGTGCGCGTGCGTGTGTGTGCGCGTGCACGTGCGCGTGTCCGTACGTGCGTGTGCGCGTGCGCGTGCGTGTGCGTGTGCGTGTGCGTGTAAGTGTGCGTGTGCGTGTGCGTGTGTGCGCGCGCGTGCGCGTGCGCATGCGTGCGCGTGCGCGTGCGCGTGCGCGTGCGTGTGCGTGTGCGTGTGCGTGTGCGTGCGCGTGTGCGTGTGCGTGTGCGTGTGCGTAGCCGTGTGCGTGTGCGTGTGCGTGTGCGTGTGCGTGTGCGTGCGTGCGCGTGCGCGTGCGCGTGTGCGTGTGCGTGTGCGTGTGCGTGTGCGTGTGCGTGTGTGCGTGTGCGTGCGCGTGCATGTGCGTGTGCGTGTGCGTGCGTGTGTGCGCGTGCGTGTGCGTGTGTGTGCGCGTGCGTGTGCGTGCGCGTGCGCGTGTGCGTGTGCGTGCGCGTGCGCGTGGGCGTGGGCGTGGGCGTGTGCGTTGGCGTGTGCGTGGGCGTGTGCGTGTGCGTGTGCGTGTGCGCGTGCCTTTGCGTGTGCCTGTTCGCGTGCGTGTGCGCGTGCGTGAGCGCGTGCGTGTGCGTGTGAGTATGCGGGTGCGTGTGACTGTGCGCAAGCGCGTGCGTGTGTGATGCGTGTGCGTGTGCATGTGCCTGTGCCTGTGCGTGTGCATGTGCGCGTGCGTGTGCGTGTGCGTGTGCGTGTGCGCGTGCGTGTGCGTGTGCGTGTGCGTGTTCGTGTGCATGTGCGTGTGCGTGTGCATGTGCGCGTGCGTGTGCCTGTGCGTGTGGGTGTGCGCGCGGGCGCGTGCGCGCGTGCTTGTGTGTGCGTGTGTGCGTGTGTGCGTGTGTGCGGGTGTGCGTGTGTGCGTGTGTGCGCGTGCGCGTGTGCGTGTGTTGTGCGTGTGCGTGTGCGTGTGCGTGTGCGTGTGCGTGTGCGTGTGCGTGTGCGCGCGCGTGCGTGCGTGCGTGCGTACGTGTGTGTGTGGTGTGTGTGGTGTGTGTGTGGTGTGTGTGTGGTGTGTGTGAGTGGTGTGGTGGTGTGTGGTGTGTGTGGTGTGTGGTGTGTTTTGTGTGTTGTGTGTTGTGTGTGATATTTGTGCGTTGTGTGTTATATGTATGTGTTGTGTGTTGTGTGTGGGGTGTGTGTGTGTGTTGGGTTTGTTGTGTGTTATGTGTATGGTGTGTGTTGTGTGTTGAGTGCGTTGTGTGTGTTGTGTGTTGTGTGCTGCGTGTCTTATGTGTGTGTTGTGGAGCGTGCCAGCGGCGTCGCCGGAGGCGCCGCCTGGGGGGCCCAGCGCCGATCCAAAGAGATCCTTACGGAGCTCCGAAAACTTACACTTGTGCGTGTCCTGTCCGCCGGTGATTGGGAGACCAGCGAGGGAAGCGCGCGGAGAGCACATACACGTGTGTGCATGTGTGTACGTGTATGCACACACACATACACACGCACACGAACGTACACGCATGTGCGTGGGCACACACAAGACGCACGCACCCACACGCACATACACAAATGTGCGTGTGGCAGTGCGCGTGCGTGTGGGAGTGCGCGTGTGTGCAACACGCGTGTGCGTGTGCGCACACATTCGCGCGAGGAGCGCCAGAGCGCATCTGTCCGCGCGCGCGCGCCTTGCGCTCCCTGCAGAGGCGGCTCCTGCTGCGGCTGCCACCGCGCGCGGGCCTGAGGCCGCCGGCCGCAGGCAGCAGCGCGGCGTGGCGCGGCGCGACGACGAACGACGACAACGACGACGACGACGAAGACAACGGCGACGACGTCGACGACGACGACGACGACGACGACGGCGGCAGCGACGACAACAACGGCGGCGGCGAGTCTTCTTCCTCCTCCTCCTCCTCTGCATCCTCATCCTCCTCCCCCTCCTCCTCCTCGAGCCCCCTCCTTCGTCCTCCGTCTGGCGTCCTCCAGACTCCTCATCATTATCAGATCATCAGCATCAGCCAGCATCTGCCAGCATCAGCCAGCATCAGGATCAGCATCATCATCATCATCATCATCATAATCATCAGCAGCAGCATCAGCAGCAGCATCAATAGTAGCAGCAGCATCATAATCACCATCCTCATCTTCATCATCATTACCATCAGCAGCATCAGCATCATCATCGTCGCCGTCATCATCAGTTCATCATCATCAGCAGCAGCATCATCAGCATCACCAGCATCAACAACATCATCATCATCATCATCATCATCATCATCATCATCATCATCATCATCATCATCATCATCGTCATCCTCATCATCATCATCATAATCATCATCAGCATGATCACCAGAACTATCATCGCAATCTTCGTTTGGATCAACAACAACATCATCACCAACCACAACATCGAGAGTATTATCATCAACAAGAAGATCATCACCATCATCATGACCATCATCAATAGCATCATCAGCAGCAGCATGAGCATCATCATCATCATCATCATCATCATCATCATCATCATCATCATCATCATCATCATCATCATCATCATCATCATCATCATCAGCATCATCATCATCATCATCATCATCATCATCATCATCATCATCATCATCATCATCATCATCATCATCATCATCATCATCATCATCATCATCATCGTCATCGTCATCGTCATCGTCATCGTCGGCGTGGTCGGCGACGTCGTCGTCGTCCCCATCCTCATCCTCATCCTTATCCTCGTCCTCGTCCTCCGTCCTCTCCCTCCTCGACCCGTATCCTCCTTCACCCTCACCATCCTTCATCCTGCTCCTCCCTCCCCCTCCCTCCTCCTCCTCCCTCCTCCTCCTCCTCCTCCTCCTCCTCCTCCTCCTCCTCCTCCTCTTCCTCCTCCTCATCCTCATCCTCATCCTCATACTCATCCGCAGCCTCATCCTCAGCCTCTTCCTCCTTCTCCTCCCTCCGCCGCCTCCTCCTCCTCATACCTCCCTCCTTGTTTCTCCCAGTCCTGCCTCCGCGCTGGGCCAGGGGAAGGGGGTGGCCGGCCCGGCGCACCCGAGAGAGAAGCGAGGGGCCCGAGGTTGGACGGGAACGGTCGGCAGCTGCCCCGATTCCGGCGGGGTGACGTTGTTCGCCACTAGGCATTACCGTCGAGGACTGGTTGGGTGAAAGTCGTAGCGCAGCAACTTGAGTTTCCAATTCGCGTAGTTTTGCTTCCACTGCCGTCCCCGTTGATGCGGCTGCCACGCTTCGCGCCGATGCTGGACGCGATGGGTTTGTCTCCAGAGCGGCAACTCGGGCGGTGATGTTCTGGACGTGTGCCAAGAGGTCCAACGCATTGAAAAAATCAAGGCGGCGGCTTTTCCTAATTTTCGGTCTCTGGGGGCCCTCGCCGGACCGTCAAAAAACGACTCGGGATGAAAACCCGTCCGGGGGAGGGGGTCGAAACCTGTGGGGATCCCGTCTCAAAAACAAACTGATCTCTGCGTGGATGATGCCCTGCAGTACCCGACTTCTTCCGCCCCTGGGTCCGCAGGGATACCGTGCCTTCAGCGCACCTGCTGCAGCTTCGTCTGCCCTCGGCCCCGGGGTCTTCCCAGGGATACGCAGGAGGGTGGGAGGAGAAGGAGGAAAGAGTGAGGGGAAAGAGGAAGACAGAATGAGAGAGGGAAGGAGGAGGAGGGGGGAAGAGGAGGGATGGATCAGGAGGCGAGGAGCAGGAGAACTACGGAGGGGGGAGGAGGAGGAGGAGGAGGAGGAGGAGGAGGAGGAGGAGGAGGAGGAGGGATGAGGAGCGAAGAGGAGAAGGAGGAGGAGGAGCGGGGTCCGGCAGTGTTTGAACGAAAGTTGAGTCCACAACTGCGTCTCGAGCGATGCCAGACGGGAAACGAGGGGCACGAGGCGCGGGCGGACGCTGGCTCGGCCAAGGGCGCAGCACGCGGCAGGGCGCGGTGCGCTCTGCAGCCGCTGTGCGGCGACCTGATCGGAGGGGACGGTGAGGGACAACGACGGAAGACGCCGACCCAAGCGAGGAGGCCTGGACGGAGGAGCAGGAGGAGGAGCAGGAGGAGCAGGAGGAGGAGGAGGAGGAGGAGGGATGAGGAGCGAAGAGGAGACAGTGAGGGACAACAGCAAAAGACGCCAACGCAAGCGAGGAGGCCCGGACGGAGGAGCCCGCGGGGCGCGGCCCGCGGGACCCCGGCAGTGCTCTCGAGGTCGCCGGGCGGCTTGGCGCCGATCGTGCCCGCCACGCGCCAGGAAGGCGGCTCCGAGGTCGCGGCCGAAGGAGGTAGGAGGGGGAGGGGGAGGGGGAGAAGGAGGAGACGC